GTCAAGCTATGCTAATCCAGAGACGCCTCCACTGGCTTGGACACGTCAAGCGAATGCAACCTGGTCGCATACCAAAGGACGTGCTATACAGCGAGCTGGCGACATGGAAAAGGTCAGTTGGACGGCCTCGTCTGAGAAACTTAGACATATGCAAAAGAGGCATGAAGGCGGCCAACATCGTCATCTCAAACTGGGATGACCTGGCAGAGTATCGATCCTCATGGCGGGGCATCGTGAAGGCAGGATCACTACATGCAGAGGAGCAAAACAGGGTGGAAACAGCTGCAAAAAGGACAAGGAGGAGGATCGGTAAATACTGCTCCACCGCATTCGTGTGTGGGAAATGCAAGAGAGACTGCCATTCGAGGATTGGTCTCACCAGCCACACAAAGAGCTGCAAGCAATAAAGATAATCTATCGTCTCCCGCAGACGGAAAGATGCCATACAATACAATTTTTACTATTGTATTTCTCATATGGTATCCTCCTTTGTTATGCACTTTTAAGAACGAAACGTAAACTTAAAATAAGAGATTAATTTCTCACGATAGAAATCAGTGCCTAACAATAAATATATATATATATATATATATCTCATATGGTATCCTCTTTTGTTATACACTTTTAAAAAAGAAACGTAAAAATAAAATAAGAGATTAATTTCTCACGATAGAAATAAGTGTCTAACAATATATATATATATATATATATATATATATATATATATTTATATATATATATATATTAAGATCATGCTTTGTAAATAAATGCTCAGGCCAACCCTGCAAAAGTGTATGATATTTCAATACATAAATCTCAGCATTAGCACGATTTATCTCATGGCGTGAGAAAACCTCAGATCGTTGACTTTTCGGTCCACAGTTCAATAGGTTTGGGAATATTTACAGAAGAAGCCAATGTAACCACAAAGTTTCAAGCAATTGCTTTGACACATGATGGTAGGTGGACGTTTTCTGTTAGCACCAATGCCCTCGTCGTTTGACAGCAGACGTCATCAAGATAATGCAGTTTTATTTTGATAATGTTGGGTTGACCATTGCGTTGATTAATCAGCGTGTCGCTGCTTAAGCACAAAGAAGAAGTAGTCAAAGGTAATATCGCTCTTTGTCTTAAGGCTGACGAGCGGTTGATCCTGCTGTGATGTGTTCATCTACCTATGGCGAAAGATGTCTACTAATTTGGGATAAGTCTTTCACTTCATCCCACGAGACTGAATATCTGATATCAACAACTACTAATGCAACAAACGCTAACCGGTTTGTTGCAAGATATGAGTTTTTTTAACAAGAACTCCTTCAATTTTGTTGTTAAATAATTTCAGATTAATAATGAAGTCGTTCCAGCCAAACATTAAGCAACACACAAGACAAAATAGTCACTGTCGAACAACCGCCATCTATCCACCATAAAAACAACAAAAGTAACGCTTAATTTTCCCTTCCACAAATACGTCACAACAATCTGACACAATAGATACAGCGACACATGAAATCTCTAAACTAAACATCTTTTATATACCAACAGTGATTCTCATATAATAGTGATCTACACACAATAACAGTGATTCTCATACCATTGAAAAAAAACTAACAATGCTTAGGCTCGAACATTTTTTAAAATCGTTTATACTAACTTCTCTTCTGTTCGTGGCTGGCTGACAAAATATTTGGATGGCTCATTGGCACACATCCGTCAACCTATCGAGCTGATAAAAATCGCCACACAGACGCGATGCCGCAAAAACAAAAACATCCTGACACTAAGATTAAGCTGCCATCAAGTTTCATTTTATGGAAATAGGATTGCGTAAGACAATGGATCCAAGATTGGGCTCAGGCTGTCGATATTGTTTGATATATTTGGCTTGGTTCAGCAGTTTTTATCTTATCGATGTGGCTTTTATTCTTGAAAGATGTCTCACTATCTTCATTGACATGTCTCACATCGACACAGACACACACACACTCACGCACATATATTTGTTTAATATTAAGACGGGAAGAAATATATTTCAAAAACATAAATGAAAACGAAACTTAACTTAGTGTCTGCACGTCATGGTTTATTTAAAATAGCGTATTGTCTCGTAAATGTCTAAAGAAATGATTACCCAAACTGTATATTTTATTTGAAACTCCACGATCCAGAGATTCCAAAAATGGGTCCTGTTTTGTGGTTGTACTGTACTCCACCACCGACTTTAAGATTATCTTTCGAGTAACCAAAGTTAATCCCTCCATTGATTCCAGAATTGTGACTGACAGTTACGCCACCTCCAAAAGACAATGGTCCTTTCGAGTATTTTGCGCCTAGTTCGTACTGTTCTCCGCCTTTGAAATTATAGGTGGTTCCCCCGAATGCCTTCAATGGTCCGTTGTCGTAGATTAGCTTCCCGCCGATTGAGTTTAACGTTGAATCGAATTGTTTGGACCAGTTTCCTTTTATAAAATTTAAAAGAGGAAAATCACCTTAAACCTAACAATAATATGTTAGACCAGGGGTCGGCAAACTGCGGGTCGCGAGCCGCATGCGGCTCTTTTGATGTCAAGATGCGGCTCTCAAGTTCCATGCGCAAATATTAATACTTATATTGAAATAAAAATGTTAGTGGCTCTTTAAAAACTGGGAAATTTTGTAAATTGTAACTTTTGGCTCTTCCGTCTCAAAAGGTTGCCGACCTCTGTGTTAGACAAAAATCACATACTTTGTATCAGTGTCAGTGATCTAAGGGGAAGGAATGTCAATGGTAACGCCCGATCACCCATTGTATTGTCCGTTACATATAAGCAAGGTGATCAAGTGTAAGGACTTATCTTAGGAACAATTTACGTGAAATAATAAACTAAATCAGAAAGAATATACGGTCTTGGATTACATTTTACTAATAAGGGATAGAATTGAACTCTCATTGATCGAATTAAATTATCACATTGGGAAAATATTTATAGCAAGGCATAAATAAAATCATTACAAATGGGATTTGACTAGTAGAGTTAAATCAGTGTAAAGTATTGTCCGAGAAGCATAGTTGGACGATGGTCAGTGACGTACTGTCATTGAACTGTGGTTCCTGGTCAGTGCGGCAGAAATGTAAGCAGATACATTTGAAATGTTGAAAATTTGCAGGAAGACAGCTGGATGTCAGTCAGTACGGCGGCACTGTCCAGAGAGTGCATTTAAATGTACGATTATAAAAAAAAAATACATTGAGGAAACAAAGAGAGGACCATAGTTAGAAAAAAAGGATCGGGAATAAAGAAAACTTTGTGAATAGAATCGTTTCGTTTGTCCTATTTGGATTCAAATGTTGTGGCATCCACTTGGTGGTACGGGACTAGAAAGGCCCATTGAAGCTTTTCAAATCATGAAACGAAAGAACCCGGCGACTAGTACATCGAAGACCGAAGGACTCCTTGGACGAGGGACTCAGACAATGCAAATTCTGATACCTAAGGGTTGGAAGAGAGTTTTCCAATATCTATATCACAATGGAAAGGAATATTAAACTTTCATATGTGGATCTGACATTTCAGTGACTTTTTTTTATTAGTTTCTGGGGACGGGCTGGTCAAGTGCTTGGACTGAATTCTTAGATTAATGAGCAAACGCCCTCTCTTGTCGACGTCGGTACATGGTGATCATAAAAAATATATAATCTATATATAGTCTATTTTGTATTAATTAATAGTTCTTTTCATTTATATATATATATATATATATATATATATATATATATATATAATATATATATATATATATACATACACAAATATATATGAATATATATATATATATATATATAAATATATATATATATTTATATATATATATATATATAAATATATAAATAAATAAAGGAAGGGAAAACATGAATATAACTAATATTTATTGTTAAGTTTTAATTTTACTTGCCTTGTCTACTGCTAAGGTCCTGTTAAGGAAAATACACATATATTTTTTAGAAAATATATTCAAATAGTAGAAATGTTTTTTTGTTTTTGTTTTTTAAGGTAAGAAAAAAAATTGTAAAGAATAAAAATTTAAAAAGTAATAAAATTATTATTATTTTTTATACTTGTTATGTAAATTTGACGTTTGTCCCAGTCTACCTTCTCTCTTCAAATGTTATTAGGCTTTTAATATAATAAATAAATCTTTCTCAATTTTTTTTTTCTTTTAGTCTCTATCCATTTCTTATGTCTTGAATCAGGTTTATTTTACCATTTCAAAATGAGTGTAGAAGGTTCCAAAATATATATTCTTAAAATATCAAAAAATCTACAAAGATTTCACAAGATATAAAAGACAATAACGTTATATTTTAGGCCTTTTATAAACGCAATTTGAAAAATATATTTTTTTATCTTAGGGATAGACATTTTTTTTTTCATTTTAAAATCGATTCATGTCATGTATCCTATTTTGTTTTAATTGATAAACCGGCCATATAATGTATTTATTTTTTTGCATTTGTGAATACCTTTCTTTAATTACACGTTTTTTAAAAGGTCATTTCGATTGAATTGCGCGGTTGTTTTTATTCACATGATATAATTTTACTAATTTTTAATTGGAAAGAGCAGGGCTCCAAATCAATGCCTTTAAGAGTTTTGATCCACTTGATTTTTTTAAAGAAATTATTTCACATTTAGTTTGGTAATTTAAGTTGTTTTTATTTTTAAGAGGAGACGAAATTTAGGTTTTGCCTGTTAACTTTTTAAAAGATGTTTTCGAATTCAAATCAAAAGAATTATTTGTTTATTTGCTAATTGAAATATATATACACACAAACTCTTAGAGAAAAAAGGTCAATAATATTTGTTTCGAGAGAGAGAGTGTTAAAATATTCATCAATGTTTTAAAAAAATGTTCTGATTATATTCTGAATAAAACTTTTTGTTAAATTGTGTTTTTGACTGGAATTTTTTTACATTACAGTGTGTTATGATCGTAATAAAATGATAACATAATTATTACTTTTATATTTTAAAATGTTTTTTACTCACCCTTTTGTAGACATCCCTTTTGTACAAATTCACCTTGTAAAGGTCCACTGTAAAGTTAAATATTACTTTTGGTGAACTTGCAGTAGCATTCTTCCTCGTTAAAATATTTCTTACCATCTTCTTAAGATTCTTAAAATCGTTGTTTTTACTTGAGTTAATGTAGATTCTAAATAAATAGTTTTCATCAAGGTATTTAGAAGGGGAAAAAAGTTAAATGCAATTATTTTTTATAGGTCACGCATTGTATACATTTTAATATAAATGTACAATACTTTTTAAAAAATGCAATTATTTTTTAAAGATAAAAAATAAGTATACTGTTAGAGCTAGTTACGTATTTTAATGTAATAACTTGTTGTTTTTTTTACTTTATCACAATATTCGAATAAAAGTGTACATATTTTAGCTGAATATTCATTAAACATAGATGATATTATCAAAGAACATAAACAAGGAAATATTATCACTGAGCCCGTACTAAGAATAACGCAACTTAAACGTTCATTTGTCAAAAGTTCATTGATCCAACTCCTAGGTGATGCAAGTAGTGACAAGAAAGATAAACATTTTTTCCAGTTAATCTTACTATATTTGCTTATAATACGTTGTCTTCAAGTAAGAAAATTAAAAAAAAAAATTGTTTTTCCATATTGTCATAATATGTATGTTATAAATCATATAAATTATATGAGAAGACACTATTTTTAAAGGGATGTCCAGCTTTTCTTTTTAGTTTTGCATACATTGCCATTGTTTGCTAAATTGTCAGGCTAATTTCAGTTAAATATTTTTTAGGAATACTTATTATTGAATTTCGATTTTATTTATTAAATGTTATAATTGGCTTGAAAAATAAGAACAATAATTAATCACAAACCAGCATTCTCAGCTGCATTCTCTAGCTTATCTGCCAAGACATAAACAACCTTGATAATGTGTCCGTATTTATCCCCTGTAGCTGTAGTTGGTGATTAATTTTTTAAAAAAAGATACATTATTATTCTTTTTAAATATTCCAACAATAAAATTATAAAAATAATAAGCAACAAGAACAAAATTAAAAAAAAAATAATATGCTACTTCAGCCTTACATGAGGTCCTCTGAATGTGTTGGGAGGCAGGTCACGGTCCCCAGGACACGAAAGATGCCAACATCGTAATATTGTATAAAACAAAGTGGCCCTAGCGATTATCAAAAAAAAAAAAAAAGCCGAAGTATTTTCTGTTAGGCTTATATGGAAACACTTGTGCACGTCTAATTATTAAACGATTACAGATTCATGCTAACCGCACCTACCCAGGGTTCCCAGTCTGGCTCCTGAAGTATTCTTCAACTATACAAATGCTATTCTCTGTATTCCACACACAGGAGAAGCGTCGTGAACCGATAAGGCCTCTTTGCATTGCTTGCATAGATATGACCAAGGGATTCCGTTGGGTAGGCTCGAGTGAACTGTTCAGTAATTAGCATAAAATTGGTTGTCCCCCATGACTGCTTACAGTCATACATACATTTCACGAAGAATGCACAGCACAGTAACTTCGGTGGCTTGGGATCTGAGACATTCCCAGTCAGCAGCTGATTAAAACAAGGTTATTTACTGGCACCAACGCTCTTCTCAATTATCTTCTCAAAGGATTTTCATGGACAATAAAGTCGCTGTTAATATCCATAACCGATTTGAGGGTAAGCGTTTCAATATCGCCCGCATTTGTGCAAAGACGCAGGCAAAGAAAGGTACTTATTATTGAACTGCTATTCTTATTATTGAACTGCTATTCACTGTTGATGCCACCTAAATACATCGCACAGAGAAGACAGTCTTCAGCGGTCAGTTAACGGCTTCTTACACGCATGTAAAGCGTTTGATAGTCAATTAGTATGGAGAAAACAAAAGTCTTGATGCAAGATTACCGTCCCTTTACATATAAATAATGAGAGCAATAATCTATTAGCAGTTGAGAATATCACATAGCTTGGATCCAAAATCTCTAATACAGTCTGTTTGTGAAGACGGGAATATTATGATTGCCAAAGAAGCATCACCTATTTGAAAATAGCAAAACCTATTTTTTTCCATTGGTTCCCTTCAAAACAACTAAATCAAAAAATCGATGTGGAAATATTCCTAAAATAACTGTAAGTACGAAACTTATCATCTATCTAGCATGTTTGCTTAGATTGCTCATATGCGGTAGTCAAATGTGGACAACATATTCCAGTCTCAACATGTTCCACCAAAGATGTCTGTTTCGCATTTTGTGCATTCGATGACAGAACAAGTTTGCGAAAAAGAGATTTTGTAACGTGACAAAATCTATATGATGTTTTCAGCTCTTAGCAAGAGACGCCTTCACTGGCTACGACATGTAAGAACAATGGAGGAAGACCGGATTACAAAAGATTTGCTGTATGGAGATGTGGCATAAGGGGCACGACTTACTGAACGCACGCGGCGTGTATAATGAAATTTACCACCCTGTCTATTACATGACGAACTGTATATGAATTGTATATTCTAAATTTGAAAACATCTCTTTAACATAATCAACTGTTACTAATAGCATAATCTAATGTCTAAACAATTCTAACACATAATGAACTTACTTTGTAAATAAACAAATCATTTAATTATTCAGAGCTTTCTAATTAACGATAACTATATTAATTAAATTGTCCATTTTTTTTTTAAAAGCATAGTGTTCTGCGAACTAAAAATAAAGCCATATTTAAATATTTTCACGAATAATACTGTTTATTTAAGGCTTTCAAGGGTAAGGACTCGTGCGTTTTTTAAGATGATTATTTATGGGCGTATTTTCTATAAATTTGCAATAATTTAAAAATAATCATGTTTTCTTATTGTAGAAGGGTTTTATTCCCAACATGTAGAGCAACCACCTTTTTGCCGATTCTTGTTTTTTTTACAATTAATATTGTTACATATAAAAATACATAATTTAACTCACACATACTCACACACACCCTTATAAATATATTTAAATAAATTAAATATATGTATATATATATAAATATGCATGTATGTATGTATATATATATATATAATTATAAATAATTTTTTTTAAAAGATATATGCGCGTGTTTGAATTGCAATAAATCAATTTTAGCAAAAACATAAATTTTTTATTACACCACAGATTTTCGGTTCTAAACAAATTCAATTGAACATTGATTAGAAGGCATGATGAATGTTCTTACCCAAAGCGTTTTGAATTTCCTCTTTGCATCTCTTCAACATTTGAAGAATAACCGTCACTCTGTATGCCTCATCTCCTAAAGCATCTGTTTTAATGAAATGTATTTGACATTTATAAATTATAAAAAAAATTTTATTAATTAATTTAAAATTTATATTTTTTTAATATTGATATCGTCGTTTATACGACATTTAAATTAACAAAAAAAAAAACAAATCTTATGTAAATCAACATATAGAATTGGCGGTGAATTAACCTAACAATGTATGTTTTTTAAAACAATAAAACGCAATGAACTCCGTATAAGCATTCACTTCTTGGATGTTTTTTTACATCAACCGTACCATTCTAGTTATGTAAGTTATAGAGTTATTAAATAACCCAAATGATGCGTTGTTTCGTATGCAATAAGCAATTTTACTTTCAATTTTGAAAAATATTTAATTTTATATTAGTTGTGTAATGCATTTTGAGGTTTGAGGATGAGGCTGAATATTTGATAGAGTATGTTGTCATTGGCAGCAAGCCTATATACGAAGTTTAAGTTCTATACTCTGACGGGAAGGGGGCCAATAGCCGACCGAGGATTCTCTCACAAGAAACAAACGAACAAAATCTAAGTTGATATAAAATATTTGGTAAAAAAATCAATTTTTCAAGATTTTTCCTTGGAAAAGATAATATTAAAAAAAAAATCTAAATTAATACAGCATAAAAAGTTGAACAAGATACTTTTTGCTTTGATAAAGAGACGAAAGAATTACAAGGAAGTTTCAATATTTATTTGCTTTACACTTTTTGAACGCTTTCTCAAATATATTATCCTTGATAAATATTGTTGTTAAAAATTATTTGCACTAGACCTAGCTACATAAAAAATGAAATGGATTATTATTTTGATTTCTCTTTACCTTTGGCCAATAATAAATTGTATGACTAATTGATTTTAACATTTTTTCAAAGAACTCTGCATTGAAATGTCTCTGTAATTTTTATGTAATGTTGTTTAATAGCCATACCTGAGTTAAGTAAATCTAGTGCGGCCACAGAGCTAAAAGATGAGGTGATTTCTTTGATAAATTTCGTCACCTCTTCATCCAATACTGCAAAGTAGATAGAAAACATTCTACAAAATAATACTAAACAATTTGAAAAATACATTTAAAGCGTTAATTTACCTTTAAGAATTATCAATTTAGATTTTCTAGTTAAGAGAATAGTTCAAAAAAGTAATTTTCAATATTTATGCACCTCTGCAGCGGATCCATATGACTTCACTTTATCAGTAGTCAGAAATAAATACATTATATTCACATTTGTTTTTAAGATCATATTTTATATTTAAAACATCAATTGAGTAAATATGTTTTTCAAAGTCTTTTAAATTTGTTTTTGATCCCAGCAATTCATTGGTATCAATATATATATATATAGATATATGACAATTTTCTACACAAAATTTCACATCTGTCTCTTAGTTAATAATTACTCACCTTCCAATTTCTTCCGTTCTATCCATGCATGTAAGAGATGTTTCAATTTTTTACTGAATGCACGCATTTCATCTGCCGAAATACCTTACGTATAAAATTAAACATGTGTTTTTTTTAATAGTATTATATTTTGTCTTGCACTCAATAAATGGTATTAAATTTATATTTCATTTTTAATTAAGATACTCCATTACTTCATTCAAATTAATTAAAAAATAAATTTAAAATGTAAACATTTATAGAAACTAAAACAATTATAAAGAAACACAATATAATAATATGTTTTACTTTAAAGAGATGTAGATAATGTAAGTTGCAGGGATTTAGCGATTATAATAATTAATTTTTAAATTTAACACCATGTAAATAAACATTTTTAGTCATTAATTATGAACTATTTAATTAAACAGACATTAAACATTTCTTAGAACTACTAACAATAAAAATATGTTAAATACTGCAAATATATGGCATTTGGAGAGATGCATAGTTTAGATTTACGCATGGGCGTTTAAGTAGCGGGAATTAAATTACTATTAGGTTAACGTATACTTTGCAGATATTTTTTTTACAAAAATGTGTAATCCAGAAAATTATTTTTTTTTTTCCTTTAGTACATTCAAGAATAACAAAAAAAAAACACACCATGAGGAGCTTTTACAAGCAATTTGTTTATTTCATCGATTATTGATCTACTATCGACTGGATTCTGGGCTATCACATCTCGGCTTATGAGAACACCTCCTCCGAATCGATCCCTTCCACGCGTTACACTGTCTCCAACGTCATGGTTATCAATCTGAAATTCAAATAGTTCAAAACAATTAAATTTAAGCACTATGCAACACTCTGTACAAAGCGTTGTATAATTCACCAATACCACCCCCCCCCCCCCCCATAAAAAAAACAACGAATAACATTAAAAACACACAAACAAAAACAAACAAACTTAGAAAGAAAATCACGACTGCAAAATTAAGTGTATAACATTTTGTCAAATCTGTTGAAAAAAAAAGCTGAACTTAAACGTTCGCATTGAAATCATAAATGTCTACTTGTAAAATGAAGCGGGGGAAAAAAAGACTTGATGAACGCGTCTTACAAAAAACGACTCAATTCGTCAAATATGCATTTCTTAATATAGTTTTTAAATCTAGATTAAACCTTGACATGGCCCACAGCCACATTCAATAGACACACAAATACTATGAATTGTCTCATGTTGTCATATCTATAAAAAGAAAAAAGAGCCCAGACAGAATTTTCACGGAATAATACTTACAAAAGACGGGTTTTATAATGGATGAGCGTGATAAATTCATCATAAAATATGTGAACATATTGCTACGCTCATTACGAGACTCATCAGCAGCGTCCAACACGTAAGTGTCAAGTGTAATTAACCTTTGGCCCTCGTTGTAAATAGTTATAAATCCTAGTTAGCTAAAGCCACGACACTGAATTTGTTTTAAAACAGAATACGTTTGTAACGACATTTAAGCATGCATTTAGACACAAAACTTCAAAGACTTTTAGAAATTAAAAAAAAAAAAATTAATTGTTATATTCTGCATAAAAGTTAAGACTCATGTTTAAAATACCAGCAATATATCATATACAAATTATATATATAAAAGTGAAAGTTTGTTTGTTTGTTTGTGGCTGGATTTGTTCCACATACGTTTTTACATGGATTGATGGATCTTGACCAAACTTAGCACATATATCCATCATGATCCAGAAGGAACTCTTAAAGGGTTATGAACTTTTTATAACATTGCGTTTGGGGCCGGGGGCCCGAATTCGTTTTTTTTTCCTTAAATGAGCTATATAAATAAAAATTAACAACAAATACTCCAATATGAATGGATGGATCTTGACAAAACTTAGTATACATACATTTTATTATCCATATTCAAATACCGAAGGGTACTGAACTGATAATCTCCATTTCTCTGGCGCCAGGGGCCCCAGTTCCTATTTCCTTATATTAGCTATATAATTATCAATAGGCTTATTGCATGAATGGATGGATCTTGATCAAACTTATTACACATACACAGGATCATCCATATTCAAATAATGAAGGGTACTGAAGTCTAAACTTATCTTTTTTCATTACGCTTCTTAGTCTATATTGAAAATCAGTGGATTTAAAACTAATAATATCATATATATATATATATATATATACATACATATTTACATTACACATGTGTAATCGTTGTGTGTGTATTGAGATGGCTATCTTTTAAGGATTGTACTTTTTCATTTACATTAATCTAAAATAACTTTTTCCCCTCAATTTTAAATTTCCTTTTAATATATTTTTAATAGTATACAGAATAAGAATATGCCCGTTAAATGAGCAATGCGTAACAAACAAATGGAAAATTAGTATACTAAGCAAAACGATGCCAAAACTGGGATTCTAACAATATTCAATTTAATTATACTAATAACACTTACGGAATTAATAAAGAGAAATAAGAATGAAACAAAAATTAACTCAACATTAAAGAATTTATTTTAAAATATATATAATTAGGATTTGATCTATATCCATTTTTATATTTGAGAGCACATTGATGAATCTGTCTCCAAAAGTAAAAACTTTCATTTGAAGTATATCACTTTATGTATTTTAACTTTGTAAAAATCAGGTTTTGTCATAACCAAACATACGATAATATTCCAAAATTTTATAAAGTTCTTAAAAACTGAATTTGGCATTTTGTAGAATAAATTCTAGAACGTAGTGAGTTTATAAAAGGGGCGTCGTCTATTTTCATATTATGTTATATAGTCATCCTCGCATCGTGCCATAAACTGGCTCCCCACTTTGTTAAACGTAAACATGCAAGAATAAATGTTTGAAAACAAATAAATATAGCTTTAATTGTAAAGTGTTTGGATCACTGTTTCTTAGTGCATCCATTAAAAATAATTGGCCTGCTACGTAGAAAGTTTTGCTGCGGATAAAACCAATTCTATTGTTGCGCATCTTCTATTTGCGGATCATAGTAATGAAAATCTAAAATACACGTTTTTAATGGTTAAAGTAAATTCAAGTAACATGTTACGATAAATCATTTTGAAAGAAGACGTGTTTATCGAGGCTCTGTTCATCATGTCCGTAGTGGCATGCTGAATAAAGAGGCGCTATCAACGATCGCTAGTGCAGCCCGGTGAACACAAGCATCATCCTGTGACTCTGCGTGGGCAGACACAAAGAATGAATGGTACTCGCCGAATGTGAGAAGTGTAGCCTTTGCAAGCAGTTGAAAAAACGGTAGACGAAGTGTAAAGACCGTGATAATTTTGTTTCAGTTGATGGATATGAGGTATGATTTTGGTAGTCCTGATGAATCTATATAAACGGCCATCAAGAAGACTACTCCTAGGCAGGCGTTTGCCCCTGATAATCCGTAAATTATGTACGGGGTAGAAAACCCATAGTTAAAATTTCCATTAATGGGCTGCCGACGCTCCCCTGGCATGGATAGTGGGCGGAGGAATATTAAGCTGTAAATTCACTACTCCGAAATCAGGGAAAATATATTGCTGGTGTTATATCGACCTTCTAGATATTCATAGGCGGAGTCCTCGTAAAGCTAGTCAGTTGATTAAAGTTACGAGCAGGAGGCCATATTAGCTGGAGAACATCTCTTTGCGGTCCAATGTTAAGGAAAGTTTTTTGGGCTTGAAGGGGGTTGTTTTGAGAGGGCATTAAGAGCTTTGGGTCAACGGCTCGCAGGCGCTAGTTCGAAATGTTTATAAAAGGGGCGTCGTCTATTTTCATATATTATATAGTCATCCTCGCATCGTGCCATAAACTGGCTCCCCACTTTGTTAAATGGAAAGACAATCAGTTTCTTCTCCAGTGGTAAATCAATCTGCTCCTTTTCAGAAGAAAACATAAAATAATATAGCAGCAAAGAAGAATGATATTTATATCTATAGCTCTTTGAATTTGGATTACAGTTTGGAACTCTGAATCTTTGGTTTCTATTCTTCAGCTTAAACATTTTGTTGGGATATTCATAATCTGAAATAAAGTTTAGTAGGTACTAGAAATGTGGGTGGGTGAGAATGGGGATAGCTGTAGTGTTTTAAAATACCAATATTAAAATTGATTTATTAGTCATTTTTTGAACAGTCATGTCACATGATGCATTGTCATATTCAACATTTAAAAAATAATAATAAAATATATATATATTTTTGCACTTCTATAGCTTAATGGCATTGAAATTTGGATGATATTGCTTACCTTACTAAACACTTAAATAAAGTAAAGAGATTTAGATAAGAGAAAATTATTTTTAAAAATATATTTGTTGACGAGATTTTAAAAATAATGACGTGGATGATCCTCTTGATTTTTGTCTGTTTTTTAAAAAATCATTTTGAGTGACTGAGCCAACCTATGGCTTTTTATTTTACTTGTGATAAGTTTTATGTATTTTCATCTGTTTCTAGATTTTTTCTTAGTTTAAACTGATTAATAAATGCACAAACTTTAAAAAGAAATATTACCGCACTGTCTACACATCAACAAGCTTTTTATTGCGAAATACCATTTTCCAGATGCATTACAAAATCAGGCACATTCAATATATGTGAGTAATAGTAGAAACTCTTTTTTATGATTAGAAACAATAATGTTGTCATATGTTTGTCGCACTTCGAAATAACAGACTCAGGTAAGATTGGTTCACAATTAAGATACCATATGCCGAAATTGTAACCTACATGCACCTGAACAGACAGAACGTGTGTAGGCTGTTGCCAGGTCATGCTCTGCTTGATTAACACTCAAATTGGTTACCTGTGTCTCTTATTTTCGGGAAACACGTTCGCAATATTTGACTTATTTTTTTACCGCGCCTACAAGGCTTATAGAAAACGTGTCTTTGACGAGCAAAGCGATCAAACCTATGGCGGTTTCACACCTGTAAAAAAAATTTTCATCTATCACACTTGTAACACCTGTCGTAACCAATACACACTTGATGTATGTAACCCGTAACTAAATGAAATGGTCTGTTGTTCTTGGCTTTACTTTTGAGACTTATGAAACTAATGTTAATTTTCTTGGAAACTTTAGTGTATATCAACCTAGTATATGTAGCATAATCAATGTTGATAATACCGCTGTACTCATTACAATAAAACCATCATCTTTTCGCCCCATAAAGTATGGTTACAGAAAATGCTGAATTACATAGTTACCTTTATATANGAGACTGACTCAACGAATCTACGGTGTTCGATCGAACCTAGGTTAAGAACCATTGTTATATATATATATATATATATATATATATATATATATATATATATATATATATATATATATATATATATATATATATATATATATATATATATATATATATATATATACTATTGACACTATATATATATATATATATATATATATATATATATATATATATATATATATATATATATATATATATATATATATGTATCTATATAACTATCTATATAACTATATATACACTATTGACACTATATCTATATAACTACCTAGATATATATATGGCATGTTTCCTTCTCCGTGAGGCAAAGGAGTAGCTGTTGACACTGCACCGAAAGGCTTACAAGCCCACTGCTGGAATGGCTGTATATATGTGTATATATACTTAACACTATTCATGCCAGTAATATATTTGATTTGGAAATACACCTAGTTTCTCCAGTTAACCTACGCTTGTCACAGCTCCTGAAAGCTCTTGACCAAATAAAAAAAAATCAAAATGAGTTTAATACTTAATGTAAAGGAGAAAATAAACCCCAATGTTCTAAACTTACATGAACATTATTTTTCGATCTATGTATATGCTCGAATAAAATGTATATCTAGTGTCAACTGCGTGTCGTCTTTCAGTACTGTCAAGTGCAAAATACTAAAATTGGTTCGGCAACCACATTTAATATTAAGTTTTAATGAACAGAAAAAAATAGTTTTAAATGCAAAAACAAGATACAAAGTGTTATTTAATATCTTAACTAATTTTTAGAATGGCCACGGCATGCATTTTGTATTTTTGGAAAAAACAACATATTATTAAAAATATTTAGTGATTTTTTTTTTTACATGTTGTTTAATATTAGGTAAAAGCCTAATCAAAGCACATTAGAATATTGATATTGCTTAGGGCCATGAGCGTACAATGAGATGCAGTGGGATAGCACTAATTGTAAATCTTATAATTTGCGTTACTTGAATGTTTTGTCA